GTAACCTTTCCAATCAGCTTTAGAAAAGTTGATATAGGTCCGGTGTTTGGCGGAGGCAAAGTCGGTTGGTTTATCAATCGAGATGACTATGGGTAGATGGTCTGATGCTAGAGTCAGCATAGGTCGCCACGTTATGCTGTTTATCAGACCAGCGCTGACTATTGTGATGTCTGGCGAGCTACTGCAGTTACCCATAATCCTGGTGGGTGCGTCGTCGTTCATTGTGCAGAATGTCGAATCGTCTATCTGTTCATAAGCCCGACCAAGGGCTGTTGTTTCGGCGATCTAACCCCGTATAGGTCGGCGAAGTATCTCAGAAGTTGTCCGTCCATAGGGCTACATTCACTACGTATGTATATACCTAGTCATGTAGGGCGGTAAAGGTTTTATTCCACACTACATCGTCTTCTGCCACATCAGGTGAGGTTGTCTTGCCTCAGCTTATGTTCCATAAGTGTTGAGGAAGGCGTGAGTAATCTCCAACCCCAAGGGGGTAAAAGTGATTATTTTTTTGTAAATGGTTAGAAACCATGCTCCAAACAATAATTGCTGAAACTGCACTAGGAGAAAGCATTCCCACGACAGAATGATTCGAGCAGGTAGGTGCAATACCTGCTCAGGCCTCAGAACTTACCGAAAGTGGATTATGTCGTTTGTGATCCCGTGCTGTTCTAACCTAACAAACAACAAGAATGACGCACAACACACATTACGTACCGGTCCTTCCAAACGCCCAGACAGCCTCCACAACCCTAACCACCCACCACCCAACATAACACAACCACACCTCCAGACACACGCTGCCGCAACACACATCACTCACACCCGCATTGCGATCAGCTTCCCAACACCACAATAGCGCAACTTTGCTCTGGCTATTGCAGCAGACTTAACTCATACCTGAGCAGAATAAACGGAGATGTGCCCAACCGGTTCCCGGCATGCGTAGAGTCGCCACATGACATCTCTTCGCATGCCACCAGAACCCCACCCAACTAACGCCCCTGTGCCTATGGACAGATCCCGTTGAATTCGCGCACTTCATGGGCCTCCCTTTAGCTGAAACAGACGCAAACGTTGATGGATGAGCCGACCCGAGCGGGGCTTAGTAGAAGCTACAACAACAACAACAATCAGCCTCCATAGGCACACAACGATACATACGACCAAGATCGAGGAGATAACCGTCTTCATGGATCGGCATTGACTCTTGGTATCTGCGCTCCAAGATACGAAGTTGCGCACCGATTAAACATTGTTGATCTGCGCCGGATACAATGTGAACATGCACAACGATCTTTGGTATTTAAGCCTGCCGAACGATCGTAGGGAAATACACTTGGCGGATTAGATAAACTATTCGAGATTCTGCGAGCGAAGGACGATGTAACCACCAGGATTATGGGTAGCTCCAGCAGCTCACTCGATACAACAATCTTAATTGCTGCTGTAATAAACCGCTTAACGTGGTGACCTATGATTGCCTTAGCATCGGATTATCTGCCCACAATAGTCTTGATCGATAAACCTGCTAACTTTGCTTCCGCAGATTACCGAACCTACATCAATTTTAATAAGGCTGATCGGAATGGCTTTGCGGAAGTTACCAAGTCCACCTTCGTCGTTCTTTCCACACCTACAGACTTTCATGCAGGTGAACCCAAATTCCGTAAGGTTGTCACTGCAGCTGCAGCCCGCCTCATTCCTGCTGGATGCATTGTGGAAACCCGCCCTAATTTCCCAGATGAAGCGGTTTTTCTTGCAAATGAGCGGTGATCCCGGAAATGCCTGTATCTGGGATCTCAATATACAAATTCTGCAACTGGTAGGCCAACGTAAGCGGAAGAAGTTGGAGGAGCGCCTGAAGATTTGCAACTAGCTGAGAGTGTAAGTAAGCTTTGGTTAACCGTAAGTTCGTAGCTCAAGAGTAATTATTTCCGACGAAATATGCATGCCCATGCTGATAAAGTTGCGTCCAGCGGGAGTAGAGTACCTAACCAATGTCTTCAATATTTCAATGGCCACTCCCATCATTCCCGATGGGTGGAAATTGGGGAGCGTGGTTCAACAGCTAAACCTGGAGAAACCGGTAAACTAAGGAGAGCCTTATATCCATAAAACTCTCCTTTCCCCGGTATCAAAGACACTAGAGGCCTTGCTGCTTCCTCACTTGTCGTATCACCTGATCACTAAAAATGCAATGTCATCTGAATAGGCAACCAACACCAGGCAACCTTTACTCACCAAAACCTCTAGCAGGCCGTTTAAGACCAGAATCCAAAGAAGAGGCGAGGGAATATGACCCTGTGTCAACCCTCTTTACTCTACGCTACAAGGTGGCACTACCCCACTCCACCACGACAGTGCTGTTACAGAGCATACGTCATATGAGCTTAAGTAGGTGTTTTTTGAGTCCAAGCTTACCAGGGGATCATGCTCTACGGAGATTTGCGAGCTTTTAAACGAGTGTTCACTAGTCTTTGTCCAGTAGCCAAGAATATCTCTTTAGCTTTCTTGATGTCGGCGTATAGATTAATTGTCCCGTTTTGTAAAGTTCCCAATACCGCTGGTTCTGCTAAAAAGTCGCTAGAGATCAGAGAGCTCCGATGAAAACCAGAGGGACTTTTGTCTAAGTATCAATCCCCCAGGTACTGCCGTCAGGTACTTTGAAGGGACGTGGTTTGAGCAAGGAACTTTAGGTTCTTTGAAGTCCTAATGCAGTTCGTTAAAAAATTGTATCAACTTGGAACAGTCCTCCGTGCTGTTTTATAATAAAAATATAAAAAAAAACAACATAGTTGGCCGTTTGTACCCACCCAAAGTCACGTCCGCCTATGACTTTTACCTTTTCGCATTACGGATTTATTAAAAGAATTTACTTAAATTACACGAAAATTCGAACTACGACGGATTCAGTGATAGCCCTGACTATCTTTCACGTGTTTAGCCACCACAACCAGCTAAATGTACTAGCAAGTTTAGGTGGGAAATGTAAGGCTGAGCTCATCGCAGTGCCTGGGCAAGCGCTTGTTTTTAACTGACTTCACAAAAAGGAGGAGGTTATCAGTTCGTCGGAATATATATATTTTTTTTTTACCACGTTAACCGATTCCGATAATTCTTTTTTTTTTTATCGGAAAGGTGGTACCCATAATAATTTTGTTTAGATTCAATAATTAGATCGTGAACAAATTAACGATAATCTTAAATTTCTATATGAGAATTGAAGTCGGTTTTGTTTTTTTGCTTAAAAATTACTTGTCTCATTTAGACTCGCCTGTCCACATAACCTGTTGAAGCGTGCTCGCTCAACAATGGTTTGGTGGTTATAGTGCAATCCATCAAAGAGAAGCTGTGGCGTGAATACGTCAATAAAATTAATTAGTGTCCATAGTAGTATTTATTTAACTACTGTGCAATAAAATTATATAATACATTATACAACTAAAAATAGCTATGGAATAAACAAATATTAATTCGAGCAAAAAGTGCGTGACAATTTAATGAAAATGATCATTAATCGAACCTCATATCAGTAGGAGATAAATTAATATATGTACGTGTATTTATGTATGTATGTATGTATGTACATTATACCGTACCACCTTACACGCAAAAAAATGTGCGCCATAACTCTGAGTCTAAAGTATTTTGGGAAGGCAATTTCGCATTTTTTTTGTCGAACGTTTTTAGTACTTCGGTAACACCTGCATTTGGGGGGAAAAAAACAAAAATTGTTAAAAATAGTACTACTGGAATAATCGGAATACATCATTAGCAAAATTCTGTCGATTTTTTGAGAGCTTAATTTACTGACATTAGGGTGGCACGTTAGCGGTTGAGAACTTAGACCTGGTGGATAAGTACTAGAACGGGGTGCCTGTGGTCAATGAAATTTGGTACAAAAAAACATGTTATCTTCGAGAAAAAAAAGTACTTTTAATTCGAAGATGTACGGCGAACATATTTTGTTCTGATATGGTCTAATGTACATATATATACGCAGTTATAAGAAGAATGCTCGCATTTGTAGCAGTTACATTTAAATACATACACGCGCGTAATATATATTTTTTTAAACTTCTGTACATTAATTTGTTTTGCTATATGAATAAGCAATGAAAAAGTGAAACTCCTTTTTATTTACTTATATAGGAACTTCTTCAAAAACACGAGCAGCGAAAAAGAAAGATATGCAAAATTGTGGCTGCTGCTTATTTATTTAAACAATTAATAAGTTTAACTTGTACTCGCTGCCTGTTTCACGCTGGGCGGTGGGCAGTTGGGCACGGGCCGGCCTTGCCGTTGACCAACTAGCGCGTATGCAGTGTGTGTGTGTGTGGCGAGCGCTGCAATGAGAGCAGAGTAGCCGCATGTTTAACACATTTTTTTTTTACAAATAATAAAAAATTATTACACTTAGGAAGTTTAGTACACAACAAATTCCAACAAGTCTGCGTGCGCGTGTGTTTGTAGATGTGCGTAAGTGCATGTGTGAAAAATGCTCGCAACATATGAGCCGCGCTTCCGACCTACGAAAAACCACGCCGCGCCGCGCCGCGCGGTTACTGGCTGAACTCAGTCAGTGGTCCAACAGAATTGCTTCTGATGGTCTTCTGTCTCTCTACACTTTTTTCGCTTTTTAACACTTTGCTCGAGTTTAAACACGACCAACAACTAAAGCACTAATAACAACATTTACTAATAAACATACAACACGGAAGAAATGGTCGCATTTCCAGTCTGCAGTTGATGGACATTTTTGTGGCGTACATTTTTTTGTTTACTTATTATTTCGTTTTTTTTTTTCACTTGTATTAGTATTAGTTGTAGCAACTTAAATGGGGCTTAAGAAAGTATGAATATTATATTTGAAGAAGAAAAAAAATTTAGTCTTAAATTCGTACGTTTCGCCTTGTAAAGTCATTCATGTCTTGGACGGCAAACGAAACGGAACGATACGAAACAATCGGATTACCTTGGGATTAACTTATTTACATATAAACGAATATAGGCATAACTATATAGTAGAGGATATTTTCGATTTATGTAGAGTATATCCATTGAAAGGTGATAAACGATTCGCGCGCGCACAACTGAGAGCCTCAGTACGAAGTACGAGCGTCGACGAACAGAGTTCCGCGAGCGGAAGTCGGTACGCGTAGAATTAAAGTGACAGTTCGATTTAAAAATTTTTAATAAATTTCCGTTATACGGATACTTTATGCGCGTATTGGTACAAACACGTGTGACGGCGAAAGAGAGAGTGAAAATCGATAGCAATGCGTTACGGAATATACGCGCTGATTATATTTGTATTATTTGACTTCTCGGAAGGTACGGACATTAAGCGGAAATATGTATGAAGAGGGTGTAATGAGTGGTCAGTGATGAGATGAAGCATAAGTGGAAAATTAAATGAACTGTTGAGAAGAAATTAGTACATACGTGGAAATACAACTACATACATACATTTAAAAAAGAAAGAAGGAATGTTGTCGGATACAAATAGTTAAAGTACAAACATCGGAAGAATTATGAAAATAAATTATTATGCAAAAGCTAATTGTGTGACTTCAAAGATATCGAAGCGCGTCAGATTAGTGAACGTGGCTTGATTTCCAATTCATGGTCGATTTACATATGCATGTGAAGTCGTTGAAAAGGAAAAAAATCGCAAAAGAGCAACTAAATTTAAACGTCCATAACGTTAGCAGAAACTTTAACAGCCGCTGAATTTTATTTACGTATACAAAGACTTGCACGATTCTATCCTATTGCACTGTAGCAGTCCTTTTTTTGGCCCCATCGAGCTAGACGCCTTTTTTTTCTCCAATACCAATTCCCTACACTTATTATCCTTAATAAGGCTCAATTCGTAGGGTGACGCTGCCAACAGCCCGTGCATACGATTTTTATAGCCCTGCGTCTCTTCCACGCCTTATCCATTTGCTGGTACATTTGCTCTACGTGCAATTAAATGACAAACGCTTGAAAGGAGACGGGCGGCCCAAAATGGGGTTTACTTATAGGCCTAACCTAACATCATAAAAATTTCCTAAATAGCTTTTGAGGAACACTGTTGGAGTGCGTCCTTGGTCGTGGAAATATCTATGTAAATTTGCAATTATAAATAATGTTGTCGGATGGGGGAAAACAAAGCCATAAGCCACTTTACTTATTTGATACCCCAATAAGGCTTTTTTGTCTCATCGAAATGGTTGCGATGGCCGATTTACGCACAGTTCAATAAAGTATTATGTCCATAGATGAGCAAGAACCAAGCAAGTTCCGGCGTCATTCTGGGTAAGCTCCAGCGCTTGGCCTGTTTTCCCATCACAGAAACCATACTCACATCTTTAACATAGGGGTTTGGCATCTTCATGGCAGAGAGCCTTCATGTCGAACAGCAATAAGGGCCTTTAAAACATATAAAATGCTGTCAAAGGCAGCCTTTTGGTAAGTTCTCATGGTCATGATGACAACGAAAGGACTGACACGCTTGCGACATATGGAAGCCAATAGAGCCCATATGGCCCTCATGATAGATCCATCTTTCTACAGTTCATCCAAAAGATACCTGGCAGAGCTTCTTAAAAGTTGGAAGAACTCTCAAGCTGCACCCCACTGGCACGCCATGGCAAATGTCAAAGGCTAATGGCCATGGCATATGTCTTTTATAATAAAACAACGAACTTTGTCAAAACGATTTTTTTTTATTTCATCACATTTTTTAGTCTATGGCATTTGTGTATGAAACACAATATCCCTTAAATTCCCACCACGACACAGGATGCGCATATCAAAATTATGCATTGTCATCCAATTCGGGCTGTATGAAAGGTTCAATTGCTGTGAGCCACGGCAAATTCAGTTTATCGCGGCTTGTTCCTCCGCATCAATATTTACGGCCGAACGTCCTGTACGAACACATACTGACGTCTTTTCACGTTTTTCACCGCCACAGGTTTTCCGGATTTATGTACCAAAAGGCTGATTATTGACTCAAACCATTTTCATAAAACGTTCGGACCATGTGTTGTTCAACTGAGTATCGCTCCATACCTAAATTTGCCAAAGCCTATAATATAAATTGTCTAAAAAAAAACATCAGTCCAACTCCGGTTTCGCTGACCACATTGGTTTTGCGAACAACATTCCGCAAAAACACTATTTGTTATACTGAGCGTTATTTTGTTTGTCTTTTAGCAATAAGCTTTTTAAAAATTAAATTAAATAAAAAATACATAAAATTTTCTTTTTAAAACAATAAAATGTAAAAATGTTAAGAAAATTAAATAAAAAAGAAACTAATTAATTAAAAAAAAAAAACAAAATTAAATAAAATAAGTTTCTAAAAATTAAATGAAATTCGAATAAATACTTTTCTTTAATTTAATAAAATCTAGAAATCAATAGAAAGTTAAACAAAATAAAAATGCAAAAATTAAAAAATACAAGAAACAGATAAACTTCTAAAAATTAATTAGATTTAAAAGTTGATGAATAGAAATTCAATCAATACAAGAAAATGAAATGAAATAAAAGAATAATAGTTTTCGTTTTAAAACAACAAACTCTAAAAACTAAATGGAAATTAAATTTAAAAAAGAAAAAATACAATAAGTTCATAAAAATTAAAAAATATATGTTTCCTCTTAATACAATAAAATCTAAGAATTAAATTAAAAAAAGAAAAAAATAACATAAGCTTAAGAAAAAATAAAGGGAGAGGAATTAAATAAAAGCAAAGTAAAAATACATAAAATAAGTTTTTAAAAATAAAGTGATATTAGGAAAATAGTTTTCTGTTTAAATCTATAAAACCTAAAAATCAAAAGAAAATAATATTAAAAAAAAATACATTAAATAAGTTTTTGAAAGTAAAAGCAAAGCGAACCCTACAAATTAAAAGAAAATAAAATTTAAAAAAGAAAAAAATATAATAAAATCCTAAAAATTTAATTTAATTAAAAAAATTAAACGAAAATTAAATACAAAAATTAATATAGTAAAAATAAACTTCTAAACCTTGATGAAATTTAAAGAAAATAGAGGAATATAAATTAAATTAAAAAAGAGAAAATAATATTCAACAATTTTTATTGAGCTTGAGGCCGTGTTTAGTGAAAAAACTATTGTGGAAAAGCAACAAAAGTTTGAAAAAATGGAAATTCGGAAATCACCACATTTCCTCATCAGACTTCTTCAACGGGACATGAACCGACGACCCCAGCTGACTCAGCCAGTTGCCTACGCACTGTGCTAAGTTCGCCTTATAAACTGTTGTTGCTTTTTCAACTTTTTTCATGTGAGCCAACTACAATCAAGCGCAGCTATTCCAGTGCTATTTAAACTTGATGATGTGGTTGTTGGATTTTGTTAATAATTCTATTTTTAGAATATTTAACTTTTAGGTATGCTCGTCCTTAAGTTATTTGCTTTTGTTTTTATGGCCTTGTATCAATTATATTCAACAATTTTTATTGAGCTTGCGGACGTTGTTAATGAAAAAATATTGTGGAAAAGCAACAAAAATTTGAAAAAATGGTGGACGTTATAGCTATTTCGGAAATCACCACATTTTCTTATCAGACTTCTTCAGCGGGCCCCAAGCTCAATAAAAATTGTTATAAGGCCATAAATAACGAAAAAAAAAAAATAATAAAAGAAAAAATACATAAAATAAGTTTCTAAAAATTAAATAAAAATAAAAATAATATATTTATCTTTTTAAAACCCTATTAAAAAGTGTAGTAAAAAGAATTAAAAAATAAATAAAAAAATCCATTGTCGAGGGTTCGAGTCTCGGATCACATCAGTACTTTACTCACTCGGCCATTGCGACTTTTGGAGTAGCGAAAACCAAATGATACATAGGCAGGAAAATGCTCAAGAGCTTTCTGAAAGATTTTTTTTTGCGTTTTTTTTTAATGCCTTCCAATTATCTTACAAAAGAATTGCAACCATCTTAGCCACAACTGTGCTGCATATTTGATTTCTATCACTGACCAAAACACCTTTTAGATAAAATCTGGAATTATATAGATTTTTCATATTTGCATTCTTTATTTCCTTCTAACTTTCTATTGTTGACTTTCTTTCTATTCCCGGCAGGCAAACCATGCCCGGAGAAGACGCGACCACACAAGACACGATGCGAGTCCTATTACAAATGCTTTGCATTGCCGTCCAATCGTCATGTTTGGATACCAGAAAAATGTGAATCAGGCCTCATCTATGAGCACAACCTAGGCTTATGTGTATTGCCCGACGATGAGTGGGAATGTACATTGGGAGTTGGCATGCAAGGTGGCAAGGTCGAGGCTGATAAAAGCAATAAGGCGGTGGCGGAGTTAGGACAGACGCAAATCCGCACGCAAACTACGCAAGCAACGCGCACCAATAAGGTGAAAGATGCAGATTTGTACATCGTAAATAATAAACACGATAACGACAACGAAAATTATGACGACGCTGCGCCGAAACAAAAGAATAAACTTAAGGAAAACGACATGGAAATGATTGTAGATAGCAGCGTAGGCAGCGATGCGGAAGTGGAGCGTGAGGACAGCCAATTCGAAGCTAGTGGCGATGATGTTGGGGAACTGGTAGAAATGGATGGTTTTCTGCAGGCGGAAAACCGTGAGGGCGAAGATGAGCACGAGGAACAGCTCAACGTGGTAGTTGACAATGAAATTAGACCAGAGAGTGTGACGAAGAAATCAAAGATTGATCCCAAACTTACGGCGCATCTGCAGCGCTTATCGCAATTAATTGATGGACTAAAAAATCAATATCAACAGGGTGATGAGCAGCCGACTGATTTGCGGCCCGACCAGTTAAATGCATTCTTGGCGCATTTTAATATACAAAACAAATTTAGTTTGATTAAACCTACCTATGAAATGAATTCCAAAGAAACAACAGAGACAACTACCACAACTGAGCCACCAGAGTCCACCGCGGCGGCGTACGTTAAATATCAAACACCTTCCTTAAATAAGACGCGCCTGCAAGAACATTTGGACGGTACATTGAAGCCGGAAACAAAAGTGGTACTCACAAATACGCTGCCCAAAAATTACGGTACTACGGGGTACTCGAATTCGCAAATCGTAGTTAATCGCCCGGAGGGTTCGGTGCTTTTCACTTTGCCGCATTACGGCAACGAACAGACGTCAGAGTATGGCCACAATACACCAAAGATATCTGAGGATACATTAAAAACTGTGTTGGAGCTGTCTAAACAAATGATTGCTACACAGAACATACCGAAAATAGTACCCAATACCGGCTATTATGCGCAACCACTAATACAGCCACTCTTCCTGCCCGCATCAGCATTCCAGGCGCAAGCGCAAGCAAATCCCTTTGCCGCCTACTTTAATAGCGTCAATAACAATAGGCCACAGCAGGGATATGATTCAAATGATGGTAAAACTGGTACCTTTACCGGAAATTACAATAATCAAGCTGAGCAAGCGCAGCTGCTTCGGCCCGCCGGCGCTTACAACAAGCCCGCTAATACGATTATACACAACAATGTCATTCCAATACATTTGACATCCACGAACTCAGGTGAAAAAGAAATCGTTGACAGCTACGGGCAGAGTTTAGGCCTTTATCCGCCAATTAATACCGCCACTGACGGCGACAACGGCTATGATCAGCACTTTCACTCACACACTTTTGGTGACAACAAATTCTTTGCCAGTCTCACAACAGCGCGTCCACAAATTTCCACTACACCTGCGCCCACCGGCTATGCGGCGCAATTTGCTGCACAATATCCCACAGCGATGGACGCAACCACCACACGTCCCAACGCATTTCAACCTACATCGCCAACGCTCAACGAGTACTTCTCACCCAATCCACATTTAAATGAGAATAATGTCAATAAACTCTTTCAATCGACCGATCGTTATCCCACAGTGCAGTACGATGATCTACCGCGGCCCATGAGCATAGGGCGTCCACAACTTTTCACACCACAAATGGATGGCCATAAAGTCAAGCTACGTCCGAATGGCCACACCATGGATAGCATGGAAATGGAAGGCGACGATTACGGTGAAAATCAAGCGCGACCACTGCAACAGCTGTTCACCTATAACTACGACAATGACAAGCCGGATATGGGTAACCAATATCAGCAGGCAACTTTTGCGGGTAGCAGCAGTGGCGGCAACAAACACACCTACATACCACGCCCCTCTGCTACGCGTCCTTCATACACAAATGCCGCAAATAAATTGAAGCCATACAACACACACCCCGCCTCCTCGTACGCCGATGGCACACAGCTAGTCAATATTGGCGGTAATTTTGTTAGTTTCGATGTCTTCCAGAATACAGTACTCCCGCTACTAGGCCAAACGCAGTCGTTGAATGATTTAAACAATGTTGAAGTCATAACTTGCGCTACCGGCGTACGCCAACCGAACACCACCGATTGTACACGCTACTATGTATGCAGCAAGAAGGATGGCAAAGTGCTATCCTACTCCTGCCCGCCATATACCGCCTTCAATGCACAAACGCGTATATGTGATGCGCATACGTATGCCGTGTGTACGCCGGATGCCATTATTAGCCGGTATACGGTATCGGAGAATAAACGCTTGCAAATGGAGGCGATTAAAGCAATGCAGGATGTGAAGCGTAGGCAAGAGCAAGCTATGAAAGCACAAAACATTGCCAATTTGTTGCAAAAATATGGCGGTCAAACGCAGGCGGCTGTGGCAAATGAGGACGATAGCAGTGAAAAGGATATGCTGAGCGCGTATGTGCAGCAAGCAGCAGCGATGAATGTCTACAGCACGACGCCTAGGCCAACAGCGGCGGCGGCGACGGTGAAGAAGCGGAAGTACTACTGCAAGGAAGGTGACAAAATTGCCGATCAAACTTCAATCTACAGCTATTTTGTTTGCTACAAGAACGCGCAAGGTATGATGAAGGGTCACAAGATGACCTGCACGAAGGGTTTGATTTTTTGCGCGAAGAGCGCAATGTGTACACTGGCGAGTAAATGCGCGTGAAGGGCGGGAAGAAGACGACCAACTATGTAGTTGAAACGAATGGTTGGCGTGAACTGCAGAATGGGCGGAAGCGGAACAATGCAAAGGAAGGATGATGATATGCAGTGATGTTAAATGACAGTTGTAGCAGTTGGAAATTAGCGAGTGTTGCCAGTATTTCTTTTTTATGGCGGAAAGAGTATTAGGCAGTGCTGCTTAAGATTTCGCTAGCTGTAGTTTAAAACTATTTCTTTTTCGTACAAGTTACACAAATAAAACAGGGGATTTATAATGCATAAGTGTTTTTCGATTTCTTTATTGTAATAAATTTATATTTAATTGGAAATGAATATAAAAATATAAGCATTTATTTAAGTAGGTAATACACCGCGCAGCAGTAAATTTTACACACAAAAATATCAATATCATCGCGGAACTAGGGGTCCAATGTAGGAAAACTGCGTTTTATGCATACTATGAATTAAAAAAAAAAAATTTTAATTCAATAAATTGTTTTAAAAATTTAGTGCAATGTAGAATGGCAATTTAAGTATCGAATAAATGAGAAATTTCTTTAGAATTGAAGAAAATTATTTTTTGTTTTTGGGCACGAATACTTAGTAAAAATTGTAAGATTTTTTCTTGAATATCCTTGAGAATTTGCAATATGTATTTATTTTTGAAAAAACCTACATGTTGAAGACTAATAGATATATACATATCACATTCGCGAATTCCGTTCTTCCAACTTTATAAGCTTAAAAAATTTCAATAGTTAAATAAGATTTTTCAATACCTATTCGTTCTTGTGACCCAAACTTTTTTTTTTAATTTTTCATAACCTTATTTTTCATTTAGCACCCACATTGTTATTCTACTACATTTTAAGTTGTTCACGCTTACCTGGTTAAAAGTTTTTATTTTGTATTGTATTTTATTGTTGTAAACTGAATAAAAAATATAACCGCATAAAAGCACAAGCTGATAACCAGGCAAGCGTGAACAACCTCACTGAATTTTGAAAATAATTTTTAGAATTTATTATATCTATGAAATTTCAAGGTCCTTTAAAAAATCCTGACGTCAAAGAGAAGAACTAAAAACGCAGTTGTACTATTTTTGGCGCCTAGTTTCGTGACAATTTTGATACAAATAAAATGTAAAATAAGAGTTCTGTGTGCATTCGTGGTTAGAAGAAACAAAAAAATGCATATACGATATTGCCAAATTTTTGTTAAATTTAAAAATTTTTTATTCGTTAGCATGTAAGAGATTTGTCAAATAGTTACTTACTTAAAGTATAATCGCTTAGGAAGTTTATATACGATTAAAAATTTAAAAACAAGTATGTAGGTATGTATGTATGTATATATGTAGTTTTACTTGCTTTTCATGAAAAATATAAAAAAGTATAGAGAAACCAAAAAAAAAAGAGAAAAACTATAAACTAAAAAGAAATTTGTTTTATTTTAGTAGTTTTAGTGGAGTAGATTTCTTTTCGCTTTTCATATAGTAACCTGACCCAATGAACCGTTAAACTAGCTTGTAACACTGACCAAGTAAAAGTATACAGCTCGACCTTTTTTTTTTGGCTTCATAAACTAACAGTGCACTTACTTAAGTATGTACCTACAATTGTATGTACTAATGTATGTACATATGTATGCATGTAGGCACTAAAAAAAGCCTTTAAAAAGTTCTCTTTTTGTTCTCCATTATCTACTCTAGTAGATAAATACTTACACATTGCCAGCGTTGACAACTTGTTACGTTTTCGACGCATCTTCCTTTATGGGTTTATTGGCATGTACGGAGGGCCATAAGCCACAACTAAATAATAAAAAAACAAACAGGTACACATGTAAGTAAATTATTAAGTTTAAAAAGAAATTTGTCAAAAAATAAAAAACGCAAAGACAAAAAAATCAAAAAAAAAACACTGTGGCTCTGATTTATGTATGTTTGCCCAGTAAATTTCACTTTTTCTATATCAACAACGCATATCTCATTTTTGATGCCATTAACACGGGTACGCGTACATGTAGTATGCACGTTTAAATCACTGCTTTCATGAAATTATACAATCACAAGTGTTTGAACCTACGAAATTCTCACCTCCACTGAAATGCATGTGAAAATGTGTTGCAAACAATTATCATTTAGTCATATGAAAGTAATTGAAGTCGTAATACGAGTAGTTGTTAATGGTCAAATATGTACATATTTGCAAGCGTAATTAAATAGTACATATATGTTGCAATTGGTTTGAGCAAAAAAAAAAACATTATTATAACATGCAAAAAAAAAAATTGCAATAGAAATTAATAGCAAAGCGTGCGAATGCTATTTTTTAGTTTTATTTATATTTAATCTCACTATATATTTCTACTCGATTTGCCAATTAACTATTTCCGTATATTTTTGAATGCGCGAAAGTAAGTAAAAAAAATAGCGACATTTATAAAATTAATGCATAATTCAATGAAAGTTTATGATATTGAATAATATCTACATATGTATATACGTAGATATGTAAGTAGAAAGTAGTTAATTTTCAAAATAAGGTAACTTCAGAATTATTTCCTTTAGGTATGTTTTTTTTTTTTTAACAACGATGTGTTGAACCATGATACAACAATTTAAAGGCAAAACACTGAGCGGCGGCCTGAACCTTTTTTGAAGTTTGCTAACATAACAAAAATATTTTTAAATTTTCAATCTCACACATGAAGAAAATTGTTGGGGTCTTTAGTAAAATTATTCTTTTTATTATATTAATGCCCGGTTGCACGAACAAATTTTATCAGCCTGTTAAAATTAAAAAAAAAAAAAACAATTATGTTGGGAAATTTATTATCAAATTTTAAAATTGATTGGTAAAACTGGGTATTAATATTTTAATTTTGTATATATTTTTTTAAGTGCAAATTTCTGGTTTTGCTAGCTCATCTAGCACTTGCTGAGGTCTAACCCCCAGATCATTATGTACATTTAGGAACGCCAACCCAAACCTTCAACCTTCTAAAGGTGGAAAATAACCGCCAGCTCGTTGCAACATCTACTGGCAGTGTTGCACATATTTTCAAATAAACAAAGATGGACAGATAAAGACTTTTATCACCCTGATTCAAGGCGTCAAAAAAAGGCTCAGGCAAGCTCTTCGTTTCGTTGAACATCAATTTTTGGAGAAAAAAAGATGGTGTACCTGCGCAACATGTTAAATTCTGCAATGAAATTGTCTGTGGAGGTTTGATAGTTAACTTAAGAATTTTCTTTGGCAAGATGTTCTGAATATTTTTTAGTAGTTTTTTTTATGATTGAAAAATCTCACATTTGATCACAATAATGATCAAGTATGGGAATAAAAATTGCGCTTCCGTCTTATTTTCTAAGGTAAAATCAACTTTATTTGCTTCCTCCTCAGCTTCACACCGAGAAAGTAGATTTCAGTCGAAGCGAATATATAAATATTAGGGTGCTTAACCAAAAAAATTGCGATTTCTCCACCGGAATCATTTGACTTTTTATATTTTAAAGTTTCCGCCAAAATATTTCGGAAAAATATTAAGATTTACGTGAGCTGTACTGATTTGAAAAAAAAACCTCCACAAATCTTATTACTTTGATTCCGTTGATAAAATTTGTAAACATTTGTATGTAGACATTTTAAGCATAAGCTTTTCCATCGCCTGAGGGGATATTTATAAAAACTTTTTTTTAAAGATTTTTATTTATAACAAACCCGATTTTTTTGATGTGTTTTTCAGATCAGCACATGCAAATCATAATATTTTCCGACATATTTTTTGGCATAATTAAACAGATTTCGGTGGAAAAACAGTACCGATTATTTTTTGTATGGAGAGTGATGTACATGAACAGGGGTTGCNAATACCCACTAAATTTGGTGCGGAAAGCATTAAGTTGGCAACAGTGAATGTAAACAAAAGTATTTTATGACGTCAGCGAATGGGTGGATGCTGTCAAATCGACGATGAGAGGGTTAGCGGTCCGCGAATGGCGCGACCTTTATTTTCTGGATCGTGGGGTTGCCTGTCCCCATACAATACATCTTTTTCAGGACATACGTCCCCTGTTTTTTTTGAATTCTACATCTGATTTGATATTACATGTTTGCATATAGAAAAAAATTCAATATGTGGGAAATAGTTTTCGATAAGGTACGCTCTATGAATTATAAAAAATCAAAAGCTGTTTACAGCATGTTTCCACACAAAATAGTATATCTTTTGCCAAATACCTAGAAAATTTTATCTGAAGTCAGCAATGATTTCGATTCATGGACTGGTAATTCATCGATAGGGAACCTATTAATAAATATAAAATAAATAAAACTAAAATAGATAAAAATATTTAAAGTCGATCCAAAAATTTCGGGGGATTTTTTAATATCAATGAGTAGAAGCAAGGGCAACTTTAACTATACATTATGCACTACCCGTTAGAGGATACCCTATAGAAATACCTAAGTTGTTTACTGAATAGATTTTAGTTGTGTTTAATGAGACCGAAAAAAGTGCAGAGCAGCTCAAGGTAGAGCGAAATCGAGCGGCGGTCAAAAAACAAGAAGCAAGTCAGAGCAACTCAGATCAGAAATCTTATGAAACACTTTTCAGGCAGAAATTCTCAAAACAGCTGCTTGCTCCACCAAAAAAAAGCTGGTGCAGAAATCGTGCTCTAAGTTGCTCTAGTTCCACTTAGCGCAGGCTCATGAAACAAAAAGTAGATTAAGAAAAATCCTCATGAAACACAATTTTGTGTGGCGTAACCTAGAGCAGCTCATAAAACACAAGTATTGATCACAAACTCACTAATGAACCAGAATAAAGTTTGAGTAACCATCTACATACTGACATCTACTGTACATACATATGTATGTATAAGTAGCATCATAAACGATTTTCAGTTACCTGCAGGATCTAGGAATTTCACTTTTTTTAGTAAACATTCGGCATTGCTTTCGCCATTCATTAGTATTTTCTGTTGAAGTTAATATAAAACAAATGACAAATCCGCGTTCTAGAAATACATTTAATATAATAGCATCATTGATTCAACCAACTATTGAAAATTATGAAAATTACAAAAACGCTACCAAACGGATAAGACCACTCTTTACATTCGCATTAATTTTCTCATTTCATGCATACAATTTAGCACTAGAAATGCTTAAATGACACTTTTTTCTTCTTTTGCTGAAGTATTCGATATTGATATTATTGCTTCACTATTTTCTGAAACCTTTAACTTTAGCACATAGACTACCTCCCATTGACATTATTTTATTAAAATTAAACGTTTGTTTTATATAAATTGCATAGAAACTTGAAATTTATTAACAAGAACACGACGAT